GTAATCTCCCCCACAAACGGCTGCTTTCATTCGAACGAAATGCCATTCTCAAATTCAGCCAATCAGCATCTACTTACCATTTTTTAGAAAGTACTCGCGCCATAAGTGCTGACCAATCACGGAGCCCGTATTATATAGCATTTTAAAATGGCGTCTCTCGAACATGCATTCGATGTTGTGAGCACAAAATTTGGTATTCAGAGTCTAAATCATCATCAAAAATCTGCGATAACGACCATTGTCGAAGAAGGAAGGGATATTTTCATCAATGTACCAACGGGCTTTGGAAAGTCACTAATTTATCAATCCCTACCGTTAGTTTTCGATGTGACAAAGGAAGATCATGGTCACATTGCCGTCGTTGTATCACCTTTGACGAGTCTTATGAATGACCAGGTAGCTTATTTGAAGAAAATTGGAATCAACTCGGTCAGTATAAGCTCAATAGAAGAAGAAGTGCGAAGATCCGTTGAAAGTGGCGGATATTCAATTGTTTTTGGTTCGCCCGAGTCATGRTTGAAGAATGAGCGCTGGAGGTCAATGCTTTCAAATGAAGTCTATTCTAAAAAGTTGTGTGCTATAGCAATTKATGAAGCYCACGTTRTGCGACAGTGGTGAGTATTTCTTAAAATAGTATTGTGCTCTAAGGTYGCAAATACACGTTTATAAAGCAAATGTATSCAAATGTAGAACTTTTATGTTTTTATTTGAATGTTGTAATATTAAGAGTTCTATTGCTAATGAACTTGAGTGTTTCTTACATCAATTCATAATAGCACTATAGTAGATTATATTATCGATCTTTCTGTTTCTGTATCTAAACTAACCTCCTGAATTGTTCATAGGGGTGTATCAAACGACAAGAAAATGGCCGCCTTCARAGAATCCTACTCAAAGTTGTATRAGCTACGTTCACTTGCTCCTCAAGTTCCATTCTTGGCATTGACAGCAACAGCAACGCAGCTTACSAAGAGTACAATAATAACACTTCTACACATGGACAATGTTCATGAAATCAAAGAAAKYACTAACAAACTGAACATTGCTTACAGTGTGCAAAGGATTGATAAAGATATGGAATTACAATGTTATTTTGATTGGTTAAMAGATGAATTGAAGCAGAATAAAGAAAAAACAGAGAGAACAATTATATATTGTCAAACTATAAGGCAGTGTGGAATTATATATGGCAATATCAAATCCCTTATGGCAGATAAAATGTATGTTGGAGASACTGCAAGAAGCACTCTTGTAGAATTGCTGCACTCATGCACTCCAGCTGCAAATAAAGAACATGTACTGCAATCTTTCCAATCAGAAACTGGAACAGTACGGTTACTGATAGCAACGATCGCCTTTGGAATGGGTATAGACTGTAAAGGTGTCCAAAGGGTCATTCATTTTGGGCCCTCAAAAACTATTGAATCGTATGTTCAGGAAACTGGTCGAGCAGGAAGAAATGGCAAACAAAGCATGGCATACATACTATTTAATGGTGTAATGATGACTCATGTTGACGCAGAAATGAAGCAGTTCATCAGTACAAAAGAATGTAGAAGGAAAACTCTTTTAAAACATTTTGAAGATACTATTACTGCTCCTGTACAACGTCACCTTTGTTGTGATAATTGTGCTGCAAAATGTGGTGTTTGTATTCCACACATCACCAAATATCCAGCTTGTCTGGTTGATGATAACTTTGTTTCATCAAATGCATGTCTGGAAAGACAGGTGTCAAAGCAACAAATGGACATTGTMAAAGATGAACTGACAAAATATCACAAGTCCATCATGATGCAATTGGTTGGATCCACAGCAAACGGTGATGTAAAAACCCTCACTAACCCACAATTTATGCTTGGCTTCTCARAGGTGCAAATCTTGCAAGTTTTGAATAACGTACAAAGAATTTTCTCTATGAAAGATGTTTATAATTTTGTAGAAATATGGGACAGACAGCATGCTTGTGCTATTTATTCCATCATTGGCTTGGTATTTGGAGACWTAGATGGCAACAGTGCTGTGCATGTGTTAGAGGATTGTGAAGATATTGAATTCACTGAAGACCTACTTGACGAGTGGCATAATATTTTACAAGATGRTGAATTGTATGAGATGATTATTGACAACATATCATTGTCACAACTCGAAAACTCTTCCTTTGAAGATGCCGGTGAAATCAGTTTTGATGTGCTCCMCTCAGCAGTTTTATCTACAGTCGGAAATATGACACTGGACAGTTTGTGAAAGTATTGTCTAGATAAGTATCAACCTATTGTTAATTCACTATTTAGTATATTTCAATATATTTTTTGTTACATACAGCTATTTCAAAAAATGTTATCGGGGAGAACAGGAACATCAATTGTTGAAGGGAGATTGCATGACAGAAAAGGGACTATTGTTTCACTGTTTTGATAAACAAATTTTACTTATTGGATTCATCTTTCATAGAAATGGAGCTAATGTTTACCACATCTTACAGTACAAATCAGTAAAATCCATGACTACTTCAGTCATGCAATCACCATGCGACCATTGACACTCACCATTGTATCCAACAACCTTTTTTGAAATAGCTATATACATATACTTCAGAACAAAACACAAGACAACATATTAATTGGCTTGTTGAACAATCATTTTTTGATAATGATCAAAACATTAGTAAAGGTACATTAGTGAAATCCATCAATAGCTCAATCCTTCGTACTTGTATATGAATCACAGTTATAATCAATCCAACACTAACAAAACAAATATGGTCTATAAACTAGTATAAAGGAAATATTAAGTGGTGAGTTCTTCTTAATACAACATACATCATACTTGAGTAGCTTTTGTAATGATTTGAGAGAAAAACTTATGAAGTTATTTGGATACAATGTATATACATAGGCATCTATAATTATAGTACTATTATTCTTTGTTAATAAATGGGTGTAAAATCCAAGTCTGACTTATAAGCACTATATGCAACTATACCTATTTGTTTATCTAGCTCTWATGCCCATAATGCTTTTAACTGCAGGTGCTCGGTCCTGGTTGTCAAAAATCAAAGTTAAAAATAATTAGATTGTAATGAAAAAGAAAACTGTATTCATAAAATCATGTAAAATTCTATTTGAAAAGTAATTATAATTTGATCCGACATACCGTCACAAAGCACAAAGGTCGAAGAAAGCAAAGAAGACTGGACGATGCTCCAATCCGTTTCGAAAATGATTGTACGGAGGTGCTGGCCTGTGCTTATCGAGAACCCAAGTTAATATCAAAATGAAACAATGAAGACTCTGTCGTAGAATTTTTCAGTTCTACGCGGCTAGCAATCAAAGAGACTGTAGTCTTTCTTGCATGTACTCCTTATACATCGA